AAGTCTGAAAAGTGCTCTGAAAACGGGCTTATTTGGGGCCAGATAGACCAGGGCTCGAATCCTCACTCAGAAACCTAGCTGAGGCATAACGTACTTAACCCTTTAGTTATAACATGTTATAAACGGTATAATGGTAATTCCTCATAGCAAGACTAGTTAGGATTCAGTGAGGACATGTCAACCACATGGTGGGTGTTCAGTCAGTGGTAGACTCCATTCTTAATTGTCAGCAGAACCACATCATGAAAGCAAATCCCTAAATGTCTACAGGGAGAGAAGCTTCGGATGATGCAGCAGGGTTTAATCTGCTCTGGATCATAGAGCTGTTTGGGGCAAAGGTAGATCAAAGACGGTGTTAGGTTTAATCTGGAAAGGTTTCTCAAAAGAGGGGCCTTTGTGCTGGGACCTGGTTGGGTAGGGCAGAGTAGGGATGTCACTCAAGCATTTGGGATGATCGAGTCAAGACTTGGGGTGCGGTAGGAAGTGGAAGTGAAGGAGCAGAGGACCTGAGGAAGAAGCTGCCTTCGTAGACTGCTCAGGGGTGACTGAGGGGCAGGTAGGGCCATGGGAACAGGGGGGTGTCTGTCCCCAACCTCTCCCTCCTGGCCCTGGCAGGCGATGCTACACTACCGTTCAGACCTGCTCCAGATGCTTGACACGCTGGTCTTCTCTAGCCTCCTGCTGTTTGGCTTTGCGGAGCAGAAGCAGCTCCTGGAGGTAGAGCTGTATCCGGAGTACAGAGAGAACTCGGTAAGTGGGTGAAGGAGGACTAGAGGCCAGCCCTCCTCATAAACCCAGAATCCTACCTGAGGAGCCTCTGTCTCAGTCGGAGGGTCAGCAACGGAGGGGGCTGGGAGCGGGCCTCAGCTTGACGGCAACAGGATCCCAGCCTGATGCTGCGCCACCCCTCCACCCTGCCCCTGCAGTATGTGCCGACCACCGGAGTGATTATCGAGATCCACAGCAAGCGCATCCAGCTGTACGGAGCCTCCCTCCGCATCCACGCCCACTTCTCTGGGCTCAGGTGAGGACCCAGTGAAGGGGGCCTC